AAAAAAAAAAAAAAAAAAAAAAAAGAATATGAACTTGAGGCAGCAGCTGTAAAGGGCTACAGAAAGAACTATTATTGGTATCTGTGTTCTGCTTTCTCGGTGGCTCAGGTTTTCCACCCTTAAGATGAACAGGCTGAAGGGGTTGGCAACTCATGACAATGAAAAGCAGAGTCAGTCAGACCTAGATGGTAGGTCTCAGCGCACAGCCTACCAGCTGTGTGACCTCTGCAAACTTGCTTTACCTCTCTGAGCCTGCATTTCTAGTCATATATGAAGGGACACAGATAACGTGGGGTATCGCTGTGAAAACCATGACAGGATTTACATGGCGTGCCCCTGCCATGCTCCAGTGAAAACTAAAAATGACCCCTCTTCTTCCTACCTGAGCTCTGCAGCCCCAGCCCTCTTCGTTCCTGGCTTTGGAGCCCTCCCTGCTCAGAATGCATCCAGAGGAGTTTCCTGGGCCCTTTGTGAGCCCGAGGGGTTCCTGGGGAATTATTATTTCGTGTTTGGAACTGTTGTTCACGTGGATAGTTTAATTATTAAAATCCTGGCACACGGATATTTTTATTTATTTATTTTTTTTTTGGTTGACAGGGAACAAGGCGAGTCTGATGGTGTGGCCCTGAACCCGAACCTGAAAGGTTCACTTACAACTCAGGCCTTGCCTCAGAGCTGACTTAATTTGCACTCCAACTCCAAGAATGTGTTTTTTTTCCTTACTATTGTAAAGCTGCCCCAGGAATGCAATCAGGCAAGCTGCTCTGCTGCCAGGAAGTGGTTCTTAGCCAGGGTGGTTCTGCCCCCCACAGGGGAGGAGCAGGGGCGCTTTGAGGGCTCCCCAGGGCACAGGGCAGCCCCTGCCAAGGGTCAGAACTCTCAGCCTCAGGATGGTCCAGGCCGGGGCCAGGCTCAGGGGCTTGGAGGCTGGGCCGTGTGGTGCGACAGAGGACAGAGAATCCTTTGCTCTTTTTCTCCGTTCCATGTTCCCCTGGAGGAATCCCTGCTGATCCCCAAGGCAGGAATTTGGGGTCCAGCTCCTTGGTGCCCTCCACAGGATGTTCGGATGCCGAGTCTGTCTCCCGGACCGCCTACCGGCACTCACAGCCTGGCGCACAGGAAGTAGTTCCGGGTGAGTCAATGAATGCGCGAGGGCCCAGCTCTGACTCAGTCCCGAGGACATTTCCTCCCAGGGCAGCCGCGCCCTGGGTCCCCACATGGAAGGCTGGGGTCCTCCCCGTTCCCCCACTCGGAGTCCCCCATCTGACCACTTCCTGCGCTCACCTATAGCTTTTTTCCAGTCTCACCCTCAGCCCGCCCAGCAGCTTCCTTCCTTAAAGGGAAGGTCTGATTGTGGCTGGTCCCTTCCCAAGAATCATCTGTGGCTCCCCATTGCTAGTCAAGGCCCACTTTCCACGAGTGCGCCCGAGACCCTCGCTGACGACTCGCCCTGCCAGCCCCTTGCAATCCACCCAGCCAGGGGCCTCCGCGCAGGTCACCTGCGTTCCTGCCCTTGGAGCCCGCCACACCCACCTGCCTGGCCCGTCCCACCCTTGTCTTCCACAACCTGCAATTTGACCTCACCCTCCAGACAGCCACATTTGTGTGACACTTTAAAAGGCAAAGCAGGGCCGGGGATGTAGCTCAGCGGTGCTGCCACCGCCTGTCTTGTAAGCACAAGGTTCCGAGTTCCATCCCAGGTACGAAAAAGCAGATTCTGTGAGTAGCATACCGATGAATTCTTACAGAGACTCCGGGAGGTGAGCTCAGCTCACTGCCTCCTCTTATGGAGGAGCGAAGCAAGATTCAGAGAAGTCAAGCTACTTGCCCAAGGTCACATGGCAAGGATGTGATGAGCCGGGCCTTGTATCCACCTCTAACTCACCTGCAGCCCCAGTCACGGTGCTCACTCTGCTCCCTACCTCAGGACCACCCATCCGTCACCCTCCCGGGTCATATTTCACGATGCTGTCTCTCTGTGGTCTCTGTGGCCTTCAGCACAGTGTTCCCTCTGCCTGGGACACCCTCCCTACCTTTCCACTGCCCACTCTGTTTCTCCCCAATCCTGCTCCAGCTCCCAGGTACCCACACTGTTTCAGAGCCTCCCCATTCCTCAGCTGTGAGCTCTGAGACAGCACAGAAGGGGCTGTGTGAGCTGCCCTGCATCACTAGACCTCTCTGAGACTCTGTCCCATCTTTTCCAGCCCCCAGCACAGGGCTTGGACGTAGGACGCCGACTGCGGACAGAGCCGAGTCCCACCCATGTTCTCACTGGACCCTCTTCTGGCTGCCTGGGCTCAGGGTTGCAGTCACAGATCCTGGGTCTGCTGGGAGTGACTTCCCAAAGGGCTGTTGAAAGGAAAAAGCAAAACAAAAGCCGACTTGCTGCGTCTGCCAGAGTCTGAGTTGTAACTGTTTGCATGAAGAGACTGTGGCATTTGCCTCTCCAGAACTGGTAAGCAGCCAGTTTCAGTGCACTGATGGCCTCAGAAGCAACAGGTCCAATCACACTGGGACCAGAGCCCGGGTCTTCCCCCTCTTTGGGAAGAAGCGAGCACAAGGCCCTCTGACCCATGGTGGCCCCCCCAGGCCTATGCAAGCATCAAGTGTGGCTGAAGCGTGCTCTCCGTGTAACTAGGGCTTTGTCTCCTTCCTGGAAGCTGGGAACCCCAGTTCCGGGCTCTGCCTGTGCACAGAGGGCCCCAGGCAACAGCACTGGGATGCTGGACACAGCAGCAAAACAAGTCTCCGGAGATCCGAACATCTAACCGGCACCCGCCTGGCTGTGCATCCCGAAGCCCTGCTGGCTGCAACCTGCATTTCCTGGTGATTTCTGCTTTCTTTCCTGCCAAGTTCCATCTGCTTTGCCATTTGTAGTATGAGGAACTGCTCAGGCTGAGCTGTACAGAGCAGGAGGGGGCCTTCCGAGCGGGAAAGCTCTGTTTCAGAAATGATCCCAAGGGTGCTCTCTGGGATGGCGCAGACGGTGGGGTCCGGAGGCCCCTAACTGCCGTCTGGTGAGTTGTACAGTGTAAGATCACTCACTAAGGCACTCTGGGCCTCATTTTTCCCACCTGAAAACTGGGAATAACTGTTATGTAGCACTGTTGTGAGCATCAAATGCACGGCTGAAAGGAAGTCTGGTCATTTAGGAAGCATTATTTAAAGACAGATTAGCAAACTTCTTTCTGTTATCAGATCAGATGATAAAAATTTTCAGTTTTACAGGCGATACAGTGTCTGTCCTGAATATTAAATGGAGCCACTGTAACATAGCAACCCTACACAGTGTGTACATAGATAGATGCGACTATGTTTCAATGACAATAAATATATAATAGCAGGTGGCAGGTCCAAGTTGGCTGGTGGCTATGGTTTACAGACTCCTAATCTAGAAAAAAATTTATCCTTTTATCATAACTACTCCCATCCCAGTCATGCCGATGGGCTCTTTCTGGGAGCAGACAGCTGGTGCAACAATCCTGGGGCACACCAGGCTCATAACTGTGATGAGTTTGGATCTTTGCCCACTGCCACGGCTACTGCTGAAAGCAACTTGCTTTCTCTTGGAACACCCTACCAACCAGGTCTGACACCCTTATAATGGGCTCCCCAGGTCCTATTACTGCAGAGTAGAAAAGTAAGTAAGTTTCCTCAGAGAGGCCTTCCCCGAGCACTGGGCCAGGAAGCACATGGCTTCGGCACCCAGACCCTTACCCTGCTTGCTTGATCTGTGAACACCCTAAAGACAGGGACTGGCCTTTCAGGGTTTTCTGTTCCCATCTCTACTGTCAGCAGATGGTTTTCAATGTTGGATGGATTTATCGATGAAAGCATAAGAAGGCAGTAAGTCGAGATTGTCTAGTGTGGTGGGGTTTGAACCCTCTTCTAAAGTGGAGGCCTTTCTCGGAGGGCATCTCACACACAAGTGAGCTTCTCTGGCTGGCCAGGGTGGGGTGACAGGGCTGGCTGCCCAGTTCGCCTCTGTCTCCCGACGGCACCCTCAGGGCCACTCCCTCTGTGTGGGCCCCTAGACAGTTCCCTGGAACCAGTTTGAAAATTCCTGGTTTCCTAGCTCCTGGCCGAGAGACTCAGGACCCGGGGAGAAGACTGGCACGGGGGAGGTCACCTCTGCACTCTGTGGCTGGGTGAGGCAGGGAGCCAGCCCCTCCTTCCTGCTGAGCTCCTGAGCTCCGCTTGGTGGCCTGCCCTTTGCAGAGTTTTGGTTAAGTCTAACTTCTGCTTGGAGCAACAGCACTGCTCCCATCTGGCATCACCGCAGCTCCAGGCTTCCTCTTCAGAGAGCTCAGCCTGCTATGGAGGCGGGCAGGCAACCGCAGCCACCCAGACTGGCTCTGAGAAGCGTCGCGCTGCAGGGTGAAGTAACTTTTCCCGTGACTTGGGCCTGTCTTTTCCCAGGCCATCTCCGACTGCTGGTGACCCTAGGGAGGCCGGCTGGGGATGCAGGCCGGGGGTCCAGACCTGGTCTACTGCTCAGCTGCTCAGAGTGGCGCTGGCTGTGCTGCCTGACTGCACTGGGCCTCAGTTTCCTTGGAAAGAGGGGGCACAATGATGTCCACCTGCTGTGGAGTAGTTATGAGGATGTAAGGAAAAGATGGCAAGTCCTCAGCATGGTGCCTGCTGTGTGCCTGGGCTGTAGGCAGTGTAGATAGTCGACTTTAGATGTTACAGCAGCCAGTATTTCCTCAGTTAATTATCTATCATCTGAGACTAGAAAGAAATTCTCCAAAACACCACCACTGATCAATTTTTCAACATTAAACATGAACAACCTTTGTCATCACAAGTCATTTTAGTTTTTCTAGTACAGATTTTAAAAACCAACAGTCTGAACTCCTCTCTGGCTTCTTTGCCCTAGGTCAATGTCATAAGGCCCCTGAGTTCCGCATCAGAACCTTCCACCAATCCACTTTCCCAGCACTGGCCCTGCCTGAACCATCCATGAACTCTGCACTTCATGGTCTCCCGGGAGGTGGATGTCAAGGGACCTGGGCCCCATCACCAGCTTGCTGGTCCCACATCAAGCCACCTGGCCATGTGTACTCCATGTCCCAGGATGAGAGCTGGGTGGCATCTCCGGAAGTCCTTTGGCACCAGAATGCTGAAGGCACCAGGTTAGAAGATCTGACCCTGTATCCCATCACCCCCCAGAGGATTCCTGGCTTGGATCTATTTCTCCTGCTTTTCAATGTTTAGCCTTAGTCATCAAAGAGGAGGGAATCACTTGCTGGCTAAAGTAAAAGAGCAGAATCTAGAAGTCTTGCTGCTCTCACCAAGCCTCACGAACCCGCAGGAGCTGGGCCTGCTCCTGGGTACAGACAGTCTATCCCAGGCTTTCTGCCTCTGTAAACTCCCCAACCCGCCTGACCCAGGTAGTCAGCTGCCATTGTGAAATGCAAGGCTGGCTGGAACAGTGAAGAAAGCAGAGGCGCAGGGTGAGGTGGTTTAGGGTTCGGCTCTCAGGTTGTTGCAGCTGTCCTGCTGGAAAGGACAGCACAGCCTGGGAATCAGATCCTGTGCTTCCAAGACCACCCACTTATGCTCCTCCATAGTCTCTCCTGCAGCCTGGCCCCATTGTGTTCTTATTTTCAGTGGGCCACGCAAGAACTGCACGGAGCTGCTGTTACACCATCAAGGCCACGGCAGAGGCAGGCAGGGGCCTCATTCTGGAAGGCCAGAGGTAGCCCCGGGCAGGAGAGCAGTGGTAAGCTTGGGAGGGGCTGTCTTCTGTGTGGAGGACACAGGCTCCAGCTCTGCCTCTCCATGGGGTCCCTAAGAGCTCCTCCGCCTTCAGTGCAGGATTGCTGGTCTCTGGACCCCATCTGGAGTCCCAAGGCTACAGACGGCAAAAGCCACTGGGAACACCACACGGGAGATGGCTGGGAGTCCAAGGCCTGGGGCCTTGTCCTAAAATCACCCAGTGTCAGAGTCAGAAGAGAGTAGATGGGGATGTGGCCAAGAATGCGTAACCTCAACCTAATCATGAAGAAACATCTGATGAACACAAAATGGGGAACTTTCACGTAAAGGAAAAAGCAGGGGGTGGGGAAGGAAGTCTGCATTTCAGTCTCAAAACTGCCAGTGTTATGAACGAGAGAGACGGGCTGTGCAAATATTCCAAATTAAAGTAGGGGAAACAGCTTTCCTGCTACAGGGAGTATCTGGCCCTTGGCTGGATCCCGACCTGGAGAGGGGCGCTAACAAGGACCTTATTGGACCAAGAGACCAAAGCAGTGCAAACTTCTGAAGTGGACAAATCCCGAGTGGCGGTACAGGGGTGTGCAGCCTTCGTGCTTCCAGACCAGACCTTCCATGGCGCACTCAGGAAAGTGTCTAGGGGCAGAGGGCCCGGGGCAGCTAACATCCGTTATATGATTCAGAAAGAACTCTGTGTGCACAGAGAGAGAGAAAGCAGTTGGGGTAAGACGGTAACAATACACAAGAGCTTGCCCATATGCCTATTTCAGTACCCTGCTTCTATTCTTGGGCTGTTTGAAATTATTTCCAAGTAAAAGACTAAAAAAAAAGCAGTAGAACTATTTATTTCAAACAAAAGCTCATGCAGAACCCCATGTGTAAAAAACGTTCCAGCGCGGCTGTCGGCGGTGGCAAGGCTGGCCCTGAGCCTGTTGCCTGGTGGCCCTGGGTGCATGGTGAACCCAGCTGGGAAACCACTAAGAGCATCGTGTCTCCCACAGATCAGACGGCGGTGAGAGGCAGTGGTGCCTGTACCCTAACATCTGAGCGCTCACACGCACTCAGGCCTCCTCCTGAGAGCCTCCAGAGGTGTCCTCAGCCCTGTTTTAAGGGTGGGGACACTGAGGCAGTGGTGAGGTGACTCACAAACTCCCTTCTGCTCAGGGACACCCCCTGGGCTGTCCCCTCCATGTGCACGCGGAGGCCCCGTGAGATGGGTGTCCAAGACTATGTGGGGAAGCCAGGTTCAAACCCAGGGCTGCAGGCCAGCCACACCATCCCTGTTCTTGTCAGAGAAGCAGCTGAGGCTCCGAGGCGGGGCGGCTCCAACCTGCCAGGGGCTGAGATTAAATCCAGCACCACTGGACACCCTGCCAGGACCCAGCCAGTGGGGGAAGGGATGCCCCGTGCTCCCTTGGTGAGAACCCACTGGTTCTGGTGGGAAATCTTGGCTCAGAGCCCTGGCGCTGGCCTGACCTCCACAGCTTAGAGTCCCTGGTGCTGGTGGGGTGGTCTCTGAGACGGCAGAGATTACAGGCCCCTCCACTCTGTCTCCCCACTGCTGTTGCCAATTTACTGGCTCCACCAGCTGCCTTTCTTTCCCCTTCCCTCCCCGTCCCTGCTCTGGGTAAGTTTTCAGTAACCAAATCTGCAGATAGCGAATGTCATGGCCACGTGATGGGTTTTCAGAAAATTCCAGGAAGCCAGAGGCTTCTGGGGAAACCGAGGCACGCTGAGAATTGACCTGCCCTTTCCCAGGGTCAAGCTGGGGTAGCATGGGGACCTGATATGCTCTTGAGCCTGACTCCTCCTCCCACAGGTGCCAACCAGGGACAGGGACATTGGTATTAGGAGGTGCAGCTGCCTGCAAGGTGTGGGCCTCCTCTAAGTTTCAAGGTGGCTCCCAGTGCGGACTGCTATGCCCCTCACCCGGGAGGAAGCAGGAGGCGGGCTGCGCGCTGGGTCATTTAAGCAGCAGAGCTGGAGACAGAAACTGGGTCTGGCTCTTCCACATCCCTCCTCGTGTGAGGCTGCCCCCAGCAAAGGGCTCTTTCTCCTTTCTGGCTTGACTCAGTTTCTCTGATGTTCCCTCTACCCATCTTGCAGGACAGCCCAATCCTGCCTACCCGCCTCAGATCCAGAACTGACTCGCTCAGTCTGAGAAGGCCCCTGCAGCCAGGCCAAGCCTCCCAGGACTCCAGCCCCTGGGGCTGTCCCTGCCCATCTCTCTGAGAGCTCTGGGTTCTGCAGGCTGCCTGCAAACACTGCCTTATTTCTGTGGGAACTTTCTTTTGGGTGGGTACTGGGTTGTGTTTGTATCCTTGTCCTGTTCACTGGCCTGCAGACTGCACAAGTCACCTGATGCCCAAGACTAAAGTCCACCCTGTGAAGATAAGAGCTTCATGACCCCTGCTACAGCCCTCTATCTCCCAACCACATTTCTAGCTTAGCGTGGTGCCTGCCTTTGGGAAATAACATTCATTCTCACCGTGGCACATGTCAGGTTAGCACGAAAAATGATTCTTACCTGGAGCTGGGCTTGTGCCAGGGAAGCTTTTCTAGGAGAAGGGACCCTACCCTTGCCACATCCACACCCGACAACAGCCCTCTGCTAGCTTCCGCCCTAACTGGCCTGTCCTTCTCTAAGGATGGCCACAGCCGCACCCGCAGGGCAAAGCGCTGAGGACAGCTCTCCACACAAGTTGTCTCCATATTCTCAGTGACTGAGATGGGCCATGAGGATCTTAGTTTCCCCTATCTGTAAAGCAGCCTTCACAGATGAGGAAATTGGCTTTAAGGGACTAAGTAAATCACTCAAGGTCATACAAACCAGGGATTTGAATCCAGGTCTGTATGGTTATAGAGATGACCATCTTCCCACTCTTCATTACCATGGGTGCTCACTGCACCTGGGCATCCGGCTGACAGGTTGGGTGGGGGATGGAATGCAGCCAGCATTCTGCTCAAGAAGGTGTGCATTAGTGTCTATTCCAAGCTGCCTGGAGCAGTGCTGGGTAAACTGATTATAAACAGTGTGAGGACCCCGCTCCCTACCTCTGCACCCCTTGCAATGTGACCTTGCCAGGGAAATGCTCCTCACCCATGAGCCAGGGTTCAGGTTTTGACTAAACAAATGAACCACTTGTATCTGCAACAGCCTGTGAGTGCAGGCCAGGCCCCCGCAGGCCGGGGTGTGCTCTCCTGGGCACAAGCCTGGACTAACCCCATGCAAGAAGACGAGCTGTGACCCAGGAACCTCGGCGCAAGCCATTGGCAGCCACTGCTGCAGTGTGGCCGCCCTCACCTGGGCAGCTCAGCCCGCCATGGCTCACTGCAGACGTGGGAGCCACGCTGAGCCCAAGCCCAAGAACGAACTCTCAGCACCTAAGAAGGGGACCTTATTTGGAAATGGGGTCACCGCAGATGTGATTGGTCATGAGGTCACAGTGGAGCAGGGAAAGCCCCTACCAGCCATGACCAGTGTCCTCACGAAAAGGGGAAATCTGGACACAGACCCGTACATACTGACCGCTGTGGGCACAATGGGGCTCCGCAGCCCGAAGCTGGGAGAGGGTGGGGACGCAAGGGTGGGGACAGACGGGGCTGACCCGCCCCATGGCCAGGAACCCTTCTACCTGGGTTGCCGAGCGCCATGGAATCATAGATGAGCTTGCAGGTCTTGAGCAGGATGGAGATCTTCTTCTCTGGAGAGTAGGCCTTGTGCATGGCAGCCAGCTTCTGCGAGATCTTCTCCATGACGGGCACCTCGGGCACACTGGTGGTCACGCCCAGGTCAGTGGTGGTGGTGGCCAGGACCACCTGCTGGTTCTCCTTGAGCTGCCGCAGGGAGCCGTCCTGGCTGTGGAGCTCGTGCAGGCTCGAGTCGATGGCTTCCTTCAGGGGCTTCAGCACGCACTTGTACAGGGCTGACTCCACGATGGCTTCTGCTGGCCGGCAGAGCAAGGGGAGGGCGTCAGCGGCAGGGCTCCAGGCTCCCGGCCCTGCCACCCAGCAGTGCAGCCTCCCGTCCTGCTACCTGCAGGCCACACTCAGCCCGGGCAGGTCTGACGCACGGATCCTGTGGGAATCCCCCAGAACCGCGCTGCAGACAAATGGACACAAGCACCCCGGCAGCTGCAGTACCTGGGCATTAGATGGTGGTGCTGTTCACAGAGCCTGGTGCAGAGTGAACTCACAGGGCTGCTTTAGCAGTGCGGTGCACACTGGTCAACCTCAAGTTGTGCAGTGGACAACCTGGCCGGCTGTATGCTGAGGGCCTGCATGCCTGATAAATGACTGGTGGATTTATCCTTGATGTCTCTTTCAAGACCCACATCTGCTTGACTCATCTCAAAAAAGCATACCCAGATTCTCATCACTTCCATGGCCACCACCCTGACCCAGGCTGGACAGGCCACCCCAACACAGCTTGCCCAGATTAAGGCAGTAGCCTCTGGCCCCTGTCACGTGTTTGAATGCGACAGTCCTTTGCCCTGATGGTCCTGCCCTGGAGCCAGCCAGCCATGTATTGAAGCCTCTAACACCATGACCCAAATAAACCTTTCCTCCCTTAAACTGTCCATAGCAGGTATTTTGTCCCAGTGCCAGGAAAACTAACCAATACACAACACAGTGAAATCAAAGCCAAAGTTACCCTAGTGGCCCGTGAGGCCTCTGTGGTTGGCCCTGCAGCCCCTTTCACTGGAGCTCTGCTTGCTCTCTGTGCTGCTCCTCCTCCCTGCCAGGCTGCTCCTGCCTCTGGGCCTTTGCACCAGGTTCCAGCCCCACTGCCTTGCCCCTTGCCATTCAAATGTCATCTGATCTGTCAAGCAGTCCTGATCAACTTGGGGAGTGGGCATCAATGAACTCTGATCTCATAATAACTCTACAGGGGGTGATTGAAAATATGGTGAATGTTTAAATTAAAAAAAATTATTACGGTGAAAGACATATGGCTATTAATCCCCCTAAAAGTACTCCTCATTTGGAACACACTTTTAAGGTCTGAAGTCCTCTTCCATGAGTGGCTTTAGTTGTGCTGTTGTGCTGCCTTGATGTCCTGAATCAATTTAAAATGCTTCCCTTTTATGGTCATTTTGAACTTTGGGGAAGAGCCAGAGGTCACATGGTGCCGGTGAATAGGTTGGATGAGGACACAGAATCACTTTTTTGGGGGTACTGGGGATCGAACTGGGGTCCTTGTGCTTGCGAGGCAGGCAGCAGCCCCACTGAGCTAAATCCCCAGCCCCAGAGTCACGTTTTTACAAGGTTGCCTTTCTGTTGGATGGCGCTTGGCAGCAGCATTCACCATTATTATTATTGTTGTTGTTATTATTTTTTCGGTACTGGGGATTGGACTCAGGACCTTGTGCTTGCCAGGCAGGCACAGTGCTGCTGAGCTAAATCCCTGGCCTACACCATTATTATTATTAATTTCTTTATACCTTCAGACCCCTTTTTGTGTGTTTATTTTCATTAACCCACACCGTTATTTTTGATCACATCTCATAAAGACATTCATGAAAGAGGACTCCCAGAACGGCTTCAGAAAGTGGCAAGAAGGACGGGAAGAGTGCATTGGAAGCGAGGAAGAGGGTTCTGAGGGGTCCACAGCGATGTGTCTTTTACTATACTTGGTCCCCCTGCCCATGGAAAACACTAGGCTCAGATGGGTTGGAGGCCAAACAAGGACCTGTACTCACGCCTGCCTGACACCATGGTGACAATCCAACCCTGTCCCTGTGGAAGATGTCCTGCATGGGGTTGCTCTTGTCTGGGTCAGGCTGTCAGCCCTGGATATCCCGGGTCTCCGTCTTGCCAACCCCCACATCCCCCCCATTGGGAGAACACACGGGGCACAGACTGGGCGGGACTTCCCTTCCCACTGCCCCAGGCTCCTGTGTGACCTTACTGTTTTCCTTCCCATTCCAGCCCTTTTTCCTATTCTGTATAACGGGAGGGCTGTGCTTGTCCTCGGGCCCTCACATCTGAGGGCCCTGGCTCTCCTGCAGATGCTACTTCTCTAGACTTTGTCCTCTGTGACCACAGACAGGTGCAGGGACTGTGTGTCTTAACTGCTCCTTGTGCCTTTCACCCTATCACCAAAGGCAGGGTCAGTGCCTCATGTGGCTTAGGGTCTCACTGAGCACAGAGGAGGCAGAGTAGCTGCTCAGGGATGGGCCGCTGCTGGTCTGAATCAGCTCTACTGCTGACTCCGTGTCCTCTTGGCCAGGTCACTAAACCTGCGAGCCATGACTTCTAGGTACAGCAGTGGTCCAGCTGCTTGTTTTGGCTCGAGTCGTAAGGCTGAGGTGTGCAGTGTCTGGAACGCTGCTGGCCCTGCTGGTGCTGCTCAGTCTCATTCCCTCTCTGCCTGCAGCTCTAGCCCTGCCAACCTTCGTAGCCCTGCTTGGCACCCACCCTTCTCCCTGCCTGGAAGCCTCCTTGCCCCACACTCAGCCCAGGGCAGGCTCTGGGGATGCTGTGCCCTGTTGTGCCAGGCAGACGCCAAGTCCAGTACCTGTTGGCATCTTGGTACCTGAGATAGCTGTCCTTTGCAGATACCCTGTGGTGAGTCGCTGTCACCAGCTGGCCACCCTGGGGCTCAGGTCTCCTGCTGTTTCTGGCAGTGGTCTGGCTGGCACTCACTTCCTTTACTGGTTACCTGGACCAGTTCCCTGACTCATCTCCCTGCTTGGTCTCCTCTTCTGCGCCCTCCATGCGCCATTCAGAGGCCCACCGCCTCCAGGCCAGACCCTCGGCCTGACTCTCACAGTCTCCAGAGCAGCCCACGACCCTCTCACTGTAGCACCCACCTCTCTGCCTGCGTCCACGTTGCTGTCTCTGCCCCAGAGGAAAGCCCAGCCAGCCCTGGTCTCTTCAGCTCAGTCCCCTCTGGCCCCCTCTGAGCCTCTCCGAGCCTCCATGCCCTTCCATGCCCTCCAGTTCTGCACCCTGCCAGGGTCTCCATCCTTCCAGGGCTGATCTCACCGTCTCATGGCTCCTTTTGTGCTGACAATTCCCAAATGTCTATCTATAGCCTACCCGGCAGCCCAAAACTGCAGACTCAGATCTCAGTGGCTTACTTGACATCGCCACTTGGGTGTCTCATAAGCGTCTCCAAGGTCACATGTCCAATCTGAGCCCTAGGACTTTTCTCCAGTGCCTACCTCCTAGGGACCCAACACGCCTCTGCACCCAAAGCCCACCAGTCCTGTGCCCCAGCTTCAGGGCAGACTGGAATCCCAGCTCCCTGTCCCATCTGCTTTTCCTCCTCCTGGCCCTGCCACCCTCACTGCATGAGCAGATGGGGACAGCGACTTCAGAGCACGTCTCTCTGCTCCCACTTGTCTTCACAGACAGAGCGATGCGTGCACAGGTGAGACACTGTCACTGTTGGACTAGAACCTGCCACAGCAGGAAAGCCAAGTCTCCAGGGGGTCCACAGGTCCTGGTGAGCCACCTCCCCAGATGCCTCCTGACCTCACTTCCTGTCCTGTCCCCTACTGCCTCACTCAGGTTTCCTGCTGACTGCCTGCCACCCCTCTCAAATGTAAGCTCAGGGGACAGGAGCAGGTTTTCCCAGCATAAAAACTATGTCTGGCGCAGAGCTGGGCGGCCCATGACTCTTAACTACCAGCTCACAATGGGATCTAGGGCTCCCCAGTGAGAGCCCTGTGGAAACCTATGTTGCTCCGACTTGGCACCCAATTGTGAGCTAAACCTCAGCCTGCTGTGGTGACCCTGGCCCGTGCTGCCCTTGAGCTTCCTTCCCGGAGAACCTTCCACTCCCAGGGTCCTGTGCAGATGCACCTGACAGCCAGCGAGGCAGCTGCTGGCCTCTGACCTCAGACCCACCACCCAACCCCATACCCACAGTGCCCATCAATCCTGTGGCCTGACGGTCTCCTCTCCCTGAGAAGACAACTTTTGTCCCTATTTTTGAAAGAAACACAATGAATTACCTATGTTACAGAGTCCCAAATGTCCTTTCATGTCTCCAATGCTAACCTTTAATTACTAGAGAGGGGAAGAGAGAGCTAGGGGACCCCAAGAGAGGGCCGCTTGGGGGGCTTGAAGAAGGGACTGTTACTAACGAGGTGGTCCTTCGGCAGTTCCATGTTTTAACAATTGCTTTAGCCACAGCAGTGTGATTTGGGTGTGCGTGTGCGTGCGTGTGTGTGCATGTGGTACCAGGGTTTGAACGAAAGGGTGCTCTACCACTGATCTGCACACCGTCATACCTTTTTATTTTTATTTTGAGACAGAGTCTTGCTAAGTTGCCCAGGCTGGCCTTGAACTTGAGATCCTCTTGCCTTAGCCTCCTGAGTAACTGGTATTACAGGCGTGCATCACCATGTACGGCTGCCTACTTGACATATTTACATAGGTGTGTAGTTGACTGCAATGTACAATACAGATCTCACTACGCATCACAAACTCAGAAAGATTTGGGTTGGCTCCCTAGAAAAGGATTTGGGTTCATGTGACGTATTGGGGAGCAGAAGGAAGGAACAGAGAAGTGGAGCGCAGCAAGGATGGGACCAGGGGGAAGGGGCCCGCCTTTGTGCCCCCCATAGGAAGCGACAGCTGTGGGGCACTGAGGGTGGGCACCAACTGTGTCATGCATAGGGCTCCCAAGTCTCTGCCCCTCACCCTTCCCTCCCTCTCGTCCCCACCCCAGCGGGTACTGACCGAGCTCCTCCTCTGTGTGCAGGGCAGGGTCCACCAGGGCCTTGAGTTCGGTGCTCTGCAGCAAGTAGCTCTTGAGCTGCGTCATCATGGTGCGGATCTCTTGCAGCATCTCCGTGCTGGAAGTCTGGCGTGCCATCATCTCCAGGCTGTACACCTTATAGTCCTGAACCAGGCTGCCGAAGTAGGAGCCCTTGTCCTGTGCCAGCTCCACCACTTTCTTGTACAGCTTGCGGTTGTTGGAGAGGAAGGCGTGGAAGACATTGGTGAAGCTGGCGAAGCTCAGCCGGTGGCGCGCCTTGTCCAAGATCATCGATGGCTTCTTCTTCACGCTGGGGCTGCTGAAATCCAGCTCCTCCTCCGCGCTGCTGGTCGAGTAGGAGTCCTGGTCCACGGCTGAGGAGGGCACTCCCAGGCTGTCTGAGAGGGAGGCCAGGGAGCCCTTGAACTCTGGAGAGCTCTGAGCACAGGCGGTGGTCTGGGCATGGAGGTGTGGAGTCCCAGACTGGAGGGCAGCGGCCTGGCCTTCTCCAGGTATGGGTTTCACAGAGGCCACCTCCTTCGTGGGGGTCTTAGCACTCTCCGGGGGACTTGAGAGGACTGAAGGCAGCTGCTGGGATATCCGTTTCTTCCTGGGGGGTGGGACTGGGGGTTGTCTGGTCTTCCTGGGAGGGTCTGGTGTGCTGACCAGATCACTGGCTTTGGCCTCTGCTTCCTGGCCTTGTTCTGAGGTCCTCTGAGGACCGTCCCCAGGGCTTCCCAAGGCCCCCTGTGGAGGCAGGGTGAGCGGGGTTGCCCTGGAAAGGCCTGGCTGGTCCCCCTCAGCCACCATCCCCGCACTCTGGTCTTCCAGAGACAGCCTATCAGAGATGCGTCGCCTGGGAGGCACGGCCGGAAGGGTCTTCTTTGTGGGCAGTGGAGGGGCAGGGGTCGGTTGTGAGGGGCTGGGGGCCGACCCGGGCTTCATCTCTCGTTCCCAGAAGACACTCAGGCCTGCAGCGGGGTGTGGGAGCCTCTCGCAGGCTGTCATGGGTGGCTGGTTTGGATGGTCTGTGGGGCCTGGGACATGGGATGGGAGGTGGGGGGCCGAGACTGGGGGGCTACTGGGCAAAGGACAAGCAGGAGCAGGGAGCCCAGGGGCCCGGGCTGGGGAAGGCGCTGGGGGTGGGGGCGGCGGGCGGCGGGGTGCCCACCTGGAGGTGGGAGAGGTAGCAGCGTCGGAGGTGCCCGGCTCAGGGCGCGAGAGGCAGCTGCCAGGCGGCGACAGGTCGGCGGGCAGGGCGCTGCCACAGTCTTCTATGAAAATAGGATTCACAAACCACAGCCGGTCGTTTCCTATGGACAGCTCGATTTCGCAGGAACAGTTTGCGTAATGGGCCGTGGACCTGAGGCTGGAGGTTACGGGGCCCCCAGGGGCTGGGTCTTTTGGGGGCTCGGGTGGGCGGCCACCTCCTCGTGAGTTCAGCGAGGAGTCCCAGAAGCCTGTGGAAAGCAGAAGGGGAGAAGCGGTCAGTTCTCAGGGCGGGCGGCATGTGCAGCGGGGGCGGCTTCTGCTGCGCTGTGTAGAGTTGTTTTCCCTCTCGGGCTCCTAAGCCTCTCCCACCACTTCCTGCCTCTCTCAGAGGGGAAGCCCCAAGCCCTCCTCCCCAGCAGCTAGGTGGGGCTGCTCAGGATGGCAGGCTCAGCTTTGGTTTCCTCCCTCAATGTGACAGCCCACCACAGAGGGCACCGGGGACCCACAGTGGGGTGATAGAGGCTGTGTTGGGTCAGATGAGCTTCAGGAGGCACGTGCAGGGGAGGCATGGCAGGGACAGAGGGGACGGGAGGCCTAGAGGCCCTGTAGCTGCCCAGCCGGTGCTCAGGTCAGGTCGCCTGACTTCTCAGCCTCAGTCTAGTCATCTTGAAAATGAGATCACACTGGGACCCATCTCAGAGAGGTCAGAGGAGGAACACAATTGTACCAGGGACGGGGCTTTGACCCTGCAGGTTGTTGCCTGCAGGAAAAACAAACTGATGGTCTGTAGCCAGCAGGGTCGGACCAGACTGTCACCTTGGGAGTGCCTGTCCACTGCAAACCGACCTGACTGGGGGGGTCTTGACGCTCGTGTGCAGCACTGACAGTTATCAACCACTTCTCATCACTCGGTCAGTGGCTGCAGCCACCAAGGCAGGCTTGGTTCAGGAATTCTTGACCTCTGGGTACCACAACCCATCAAGGAGCCGTGAGTGCTCAGGACCCACCTCCCAAAAAGGCACATGGATCTGACACTGTGGGGATAATTTTAGTGGACCCACAGCCACTTGAGCAGGTCCTATTCACTCCGCTAAATTGAGGACTGGGAAGGAGATTAACCAGGGAGGGCAGAATTCCTCATGAGTGGTGGGGCCAGCCTCCCACCCAGGGAGGGACTCATCAGCACGAATAACAGGAGCATGCGAGAAAAGTTTTGGCCAGGTGCTGGCCCATGGATTTCTGGCTCCACCCAGACTGTCTCACTGTTCCTGGATCCTTGGCCTTGTCCCCACTTTACAGAAATGAGACCCAGAGACGTCAAAGCCTTCACCTGAGGTGGCAGAGTTCAGGAGGGGGAGCTAGGGTTTGAATGGGATCACGCTTGTCCTAAAGTCCTGCAGTCAACCGCTATGTGTGTGGCCTTCCTTCAGAGGAACTTGCGACACTTCCCATGGGGGTGCTAGGCCGGCACCAGTGAGGGGTCACAGCTCGACCCTGAGCGGGGATGTGGTGAGAGCACAAACAGGTTCTTGATGTCGAAACAGAGGAAGCGTCACAGGATGGTGGGGTGCAGGAGAGTGTGAGCCGGCTTTAAGACGGGCAATCTCAAGGATTGGAATAGGCAGCCAGAGACAGAAGTCATGTTGACAGTTGCCAGGGGATGGGTGTAGGGTTCTTTGCTAAAGGATATGTATGGTTCTTTGGGGGTGATTTAAAAGCCCTAAAATTGATTGTCATTACAGTTGCACAACTCTGTGAATATACTAAAAATCACTGGGGTATTTTTTAGTGGGTGAATTATGCGAATGGTATTTCAGCAGTTGTTAGAGAGAGAGGAGTCTAGAGAAGGAAGGGCTTTCTGCACTGGGATGAAAGATCAGGTCCCTGGAAACTCCCATTCTTGCTTTCTGGATTATCCACGGCCTGTGGGCTCTGACCCTGAGTATCTTTTTCTGGAATCATCTACTGATTCTTCACCCCACTCCATCAGTTGCTCTCTTCTTCCTGCACTGCTCCACTTTTACATCCAGGCTAAAGCTCTTCCTATTGCTTGGAATTGTTCCACTGTCTCCACCTGCAAGCACTTACTCCTCCTTCAAGGCTTAGGTCGCACATCACCTGTTTGGTACAGGTTTCCTGAGGCATCCGGGACTCACCTCTGCTCCTGTGTCCCCCAGCTCTGAAGCACAGTCTCAGGCTAGTGACCAGCACTGGGACTGCAATACTCTGTACTCTACTCTTGTCTGACTTGCCCACCAGGCTCTGACCTTCCCGAAGGCAGCACCAATGGCTCCTCCATCAGAGGGTCTCTGGATCCCAAGACAGTGCTTGGCACAGAGAAGGAGTCCAGCGCCAGCCCTGAGTGGATTCACTCACCCAGAGTAGAGGCAGGGGTCTAGGGGAGGGGATTCAGGCAAGGTCAGCTCTTACTGAGTGCTGGCCATGGCCTGAGGCAAGGGTGAGAGGAGGAGGCAAAAGGAGGGCGGAGGGGCTCTGAAAGTGAATGCACTGCGTCTGGACAGCTGCCCCAGGACAGCAGGGCCCAGGATGCTGCTCCCCACCCAAGACAGGTGGCAGGGCACAGGCCCCAGGCCAATACTGCTCTGAAGGGTGGGGAGGATACACTGCATCCGGGTCCCTATTAGGGAATCAGAGGGCACTTCAGGGCTGTACGCTAAAAACAAAAAACAAAAAACAGAAAAGAAAAGAGAAAAAAAGGAAGTAGGTAACTTTCTCTGCAGTCTGCAGAGGACCGAGGCTAGAGAAGTAGAACACTGTGTCGTGCAATCCTAGTGGTTGGCAAAGATGTGGGTGCCAGTGCCCAGTGGCACCATGCCAAGCAAGACTTGTCTCAGTTGATAAAGTTCCCGTAAAGAAGGGACTGTCACAACTGGGTGTGGTGGCTGGAGGCTAAGGCAGGAGGATACTGAGTCTGACCCCAGTTTGGGCAACTTAAGTGACTTAGTGAGACCCTGTGTCAAAATAAAAAATGGGCAGGGGAAATAGCTCAGTGGGAAGGCCCTGGGTTTAATCCTCAACCCCTCAGCACCACTAAGATAAAAGAGAAGCAAGGGGTGGGGGAGGAGAAAAGGAAGGAGGAAGAGGAGGGCATGTTCCCTTGCTGCAGCAAAACACTCCAGATGTCGCGGCAATAATTCAAAAGTCCAACCACTTCAGGGAATGCATACTTCTGGGGTATCCCAAAGATGGGCTATTGGAGAGTCACCGAAATCATGTTTCAATGAATCTTGAATAACTAGAAAAATTCTCATTGTATGATGTAAAGGCGGAAGCAAGCCACATGCAGACTTGGAAGAGCTATAGAACATATGTATTTCTTCAACATATTTTAAAAAGATTACACGTATACACACTACAGATGTGTTTGAGGACCACTGCCAACAACCTTATTCTCTAAGTTCTTTTTGCACTTAGAATCAACTACATGAAATATCAGTGCTGAAGACTCTCTATGTTAGCTTTGTGGCCCCGAGTAACATGTGTGCCGTCCTTGGAGTCCAGGATTACACTGTATATAGCCTGCGCTGGGGGATGCCGGCTTGTCCCCGTCCAGATTTGGACTTGCTCACTCCAGCTCAGGAACTGACATTCCAAGACATCTCATGGTGTTAGGCTGCCAGCAAACAGCTCTGTTTCAGCCATATCATTCCTGTCTAAACAGCAGGGTTCGTTCCATTCATTAAAAATAAATAAATATATATATATATATATGTGAGTAGAATGCCACAGAAATAAAGTTGCTGGCACTAAGGATAAGAAACACATAGGTCTCAAAAACATATTATAACTGCAAGATTTCCAGGGGGATGAAAATCCGGTACATCTTTACTTTTAACTAAACACTCTTTGACTCTTGGTGTGTGTGGAGGGGGGAAGAACTGAAAGCCACAAGCATGTTCCGGCAAAACAAACCAAAAGGCAAGAGGCATGCTGTATTTCTGCAGCAGCTGAGGGGTTATTCATGGTTTTCGCTCTCCTCCTTTTCTGATCTTGTCCGTTAAAAATAAACATACCCAATCTACTGGGCTTTTATAAACAAACAACCCAGAAGCGCATGCAGGGGACAATGTAGAGGGTATGGCTCACTGTCCTCCCTATCCCAACACCAAATCCAGGCTCCGTCGGGATGTGGGCGCCATGTTGTTTTCCACTGGATGCAAGGCATAGGGAAGAAGAGCTGAGGAATGAAAAGGGGTGAGCAGAGTTGGCTGAGGGGCAGGTGGCAGTGGCTACTGACAAAGAGCACCGAGTTCAAACGCAGAAAGCCCCAACTGTGAACGCAGTTCTCTTATGTCCCAGTGCAGAAAGCCTTTTCTTCACTAGACTCCTCTCTCTTTAACAACAGTGAGATACCGTTCACAGAAGTCATCCACTAAAACACACCACAGTGGTTTTTGGTATATTCACAGAGTTGTGTGACTGTAATGACAATTAATTTTAGGGCTTTTAAATCACCCCCAAAGAACCATATCCATTAGCAAAGAACCTTACGCCCATCCCCTGGCAACTGTCAACATGGCTTCTGTCTCTGGCCACCTATTCCAAATGCTTCACACAGATGGAACCAGACTGTGCCTTCAGGTCTGGCTTCTTTCTCCGAGCACCACGCTTCCCAGGTTCAGCCACGTTGAAAGGAGGTGTCAGGGCTTCATTTCCGCTTCTAACTGAGTGAGATCTTCAGACTCCACAAGTTTCGATGGCCTCATCGTAAAACGGGTTTCTTAACGCAGATAAATGCAATAGTGCCTGTGTGCACCTATTCAACGAATTTGCCTCCGACTGTCCTTTTGGTTTTCCTGGAAATGCTGACTGCACCAGAGAAGCATCTGCTAGGGACACTGCTCCACTCTGCATCACAAGGCTGGTGAGGGCCCAACCAGATTCTCTCTGGTAAACCTGCATGGAGAGCAGGGGCCAGGTGGGGCTGGGCTGAGTTGGAGAACAGGCTCCAGAGCAGGTGAGGGGCTGGCACGTGGACACGGCAGCTGGCTGATGCCCCTTGGCTTCCCATGCAGCCTGGCTCTTCTCCAAGACCACACTGAAGCCAAGCCCCCCAGGGTGCAGTTCTGCTGTTCCAGACAGGAACATGGGTCCTCCAAGAGGACCGGCTTGTTTCACTACCCAGCGTACCGCTGGGTCGTGGAGCAGACAGGCTCCTCCAGTGAGAGGAGGCTGCTGGGAGCCTTGAGCAGGGACTGACAGGGACACTTGGGTAAGGGGAGCACCAACCAACCCTGATGGAGGCCTTGCATCTCTGCTGTCCAACCACCTTGGCCGCAAAGTAGCCACTGTTGCAAAAACAGCAGAGAAGCTCATGAGGTATCACCACAGAGCAGATGGAGGAGAGTCAGCGATGCCCTCAGTGCAAATCCCAGATTTATTCCTTGGGACAAGGCTCTTAGCTTGGCTAATACTTGCTTTGCCATCTTAAAAATGTACATTCTGTCTTTAGAATATGCAAGGATTACACAAATCAGTGCTCTGCAGTGGTCAAAAAGCATCGACCATATCCTCGGAGGCCTCAGGAAGTGTGTGGACTGTGCAAATTATAAAGCTGTCACCCATCCCACATCTAAGCTCCTGGAAGGGTAAAAGTCTAACAGTTACAGTACTGGTGCAGGGAGGGTTGGTGCGTGAAGTTCAGTGCTCATTCTCAACATCAACTAAGGTTTATAAACAGTACATTAGCCTAGCAGACTCTGGATAAGGACTTCAGTGTGAGACACAGTAGGTAGGTGCTGGAGCTAGACGGCCAGGGTTCAAATCCCAGCTCTGGCACAGACTGTGACACGAGACATGTTGCGAGTCTTTGTTTCCTTTGCCATATGATGTGGATTATAATGGCAGTCCCTACATTACAGGTTTAAGGCTGGGATGAGTCAGCACAGCTAAAGAGGTTAGGACATAGCTGACTCTCACTGAATATCAACTCCCAGGGCTCAAACCCTGCTCCTTCCTGGCCCCTGACCACTGGCTGCCTTCAGCATCTCTTGCACTGCTGTCCAGAGGGCCCTCTGAACTCTGAGTCAGGGGAACAGCCTGCCCCTGATTTCCCCCATGTCCTGGCTCTGCCACTCAGCCATCGCCTCTCCTACTCACCACGGTGCTACCGGCACATGCTCAGCCACAGGAGTCAAGGTGCCTTAAAGATGTAGGAGAGGCCTGCTTTGTTCATAAATGTGGCCCCGGCAGTGAGGCTCTGGGCACGGAAGCCTGCAGAGGCTGCTGAAGCAGCTGCCCTCCCACTGCCTATGGTAAATTTTCTGTCCTAACATACCGACAAGCGACTAGCCAGTTCTTCAGCAGCCATGAGCTTGGACGTCTTGGTTTCCCCAGGGCCAGCACAGTGAGGCTCCAGTCCTAGCTCAGCGCTGGCCAATTCCAACCCTGTACGGTGGGCACCATGCCCCATGTGCGGAAGAGCCCAAGACACCTGAGCTCTGCTTATGATTCTGTGGAGGGAGGGCTCAGGATCAGAAGTGGCTGGGTCCTCTTCCTGCTCCTCTCCCTCTCCCCTCCAAGTCCCTCAAAAGCTCAAAGGTATAAGGGGGTGAGCTTAGGGTCAGTTGGTGGATGGGGGCAGGCCAAGGGGAAGGTGGGCCACTCAAATCATGATCACATTCATGCTGCTTTTCCTTCTGATGCGGACAGGATGGGAACAGGCTGGGGCAGACCAATGCCTGGCTGACTCTGGCCACCACTCGAAAGCTTCATCCAGAGCCATGGCCTAACATGTTCAGCTTCTTGGCCCCAAGCTGGCCACCTCCCTGTGACAAAGAGGTCCTACATCAGGGACTCCTGGGCAGCTGTCTGGAAAGCAGCAGATCTGCTACAGCGCTCAGCAGCCTGGGCTGGGAGCAGGAGCTCCCACAGCTGTGGGGACCAAAGATCCTGCCTGGTCTCAGCCCTAGGTGCCCTCCCTCTGCCCTTAAATTCCATGTGCTCCTGCAGGGAGGACTTACCTAGGCCCAGGTTGGAGATGGTCTCCAGGTCTGTGAAGCTGTTGGCCTCGAGGATAGCCTGGGGCAACCGCAGTGTGAAGGGAAGGAGGTCTCTGTGAAGACACGAGGGGTTGCAGGTCAGGTCTGGGGAGGGGTCTGAGGCGTTCCTTCCCCAGCCGCTGCACCCAAACCTGCAGCTGGTAAGAAAGAGCCCTGTGTCCTGTGGCTGCTAGGGTCTGCTGAGCCCTGGAAAATGTCCCTGGAGCTGAGGATGGGGGTGAGGTGCAGGGAGCTTCCAGGCAGAGCCAGGGGCGCAAAGATGGGGAAACCCCTAGGAGCTGGGCAGGGTCTCATTTCACCCCGTCCTTCCTAGCCTGCTGAGCCCAGGGTAAAGCAAGTGATCCATGCTTCCTGCCCTGACACCTGGAGTCTGCATGGGGACCTGTGTAGGGCTCCCTCCAGAGGTCCCCAGAAGCCATTCAGACCGATGGGGAAACTGAGGCCCAGAGAAGGAAAGGGACACGTCTAGGCCACATGCTAGTTCTGGAGCAGAGTGAGCGGTCCCACTTCTGTGTCTTGTCCAGGCATTCCAGGCCCGCTGAGCCGCTTTCAACCACTCTGTCCTCTGAGCTCTTCTCCTCCTCCATGAAAATGGGACTCAGTGAGAGGACTGAGGGGACTGTGACAGTCATATCAACAGGTGGCAGCTGCCGGATGACCAGCTCCACCTCCTGTTCATGCCCTGTCTACTTCGCCCGCAGCTTGATTCCAAGCACTGAAATCCTGTCATCCTGGCATCATCAGCCTTCATGCTGTCTCTCTTCTTCTCGGTTACCCATGCAGGTGACACTGGGAAGTCTTGGCAGGGGCAGGGCGTTGTTGCAGGTCCCCAACACCAACAGTGTGTGCGGTTCACACCATGGAGACTCAGCGTACTTGCTAAGTGGACCCATCCCAACTTGAGAACTAAAGCAGAGGGACTGAAGAGTTCCCCAGAGCACCTGTACAGCTGCCCGAGGAATGGGCTTTTATGAAGGAAGGAAGATCAGGATGGGGTGGGGCTGCAGTGCAAGATTTTGAGGTCCCAGGGTGTGGCCTTGGCTCCTCTACTGTCACATGGTTGGGCTGCCAGCTGACCTTTGGTTACCTGTGATTCTCCTGTGAATCTGAGGCCATCTGGGGCCTCCACTCTGGGAAGACTCCCAGTGCTTCCCTCCCATCTCAGGCCCAGCTTTTCCACCACTGCCCCATCTCTCATTTTGAGCGATGCCAAAATTCATCCCTGAGTTACCTTAGGTTACCTGGGTGGCTGTCTAGCCTGTGGGCAGGGTTTCCCATGGGTTCCTGTCCCCAGAAAAGTGTCTATTACACTTTGCCACATGCCTCTGGTGCCCCCATTATCTCCTGACACCTTGTCACCTGGTCCTGGAGGAGCTGGTGGCAGCTGCGGGCCACATCCAGCCTGGTACCCTAGCACCCAGGGCCCTCCAGTCTGGTCCCTGCTGAGCCTCTCCAGGTTTTTCCCTCACATCTGTGAGGGCCAGGAGGGTGGTGGCTGAGTCATAAGGCTGGGTATATCCCAGGGAGGGCAGGCCCCGGGGCACCTCCCTTCCTTCCTCATTCTGGGCAATGACGCCACTTCGAGGCTAATGACTTCTATGCCCAGACTTGTGCCAAATCCTGGCAAGGGGCTTAGCAGAGTGGCTGGTGCCAGGGAAGTGCTCGAGAAATGATCAGGCACAGCCATCCTATTGTGCCCAGGTAAAAAGCCCCAGCACTTTGCAGGCTCCCCCAACCCCATTCTCCTGTCCACAGTGGCTGCCTGGTCCCTCTTGGCTGGCACACAGGGCCTGGATGACTTCAGTGGCCCCTGCTTTCCCTTCCTGTGATCCCCATGCTACAACAGCCACACATCACTCTGCTCAGGGCCATCTGACCATGGGCAGCAGCATGGCTCTCAGCACCTGAGACGGGAAGTCCCTGCAGCTCCAAGCCACAGAGTTTGAGACCTTCCAGCCATCGTGCCTTGCTCATATCCTGAGGCCGGGCATGGCAGGTCTTTGCAGTCTTCTCTAGCTAGAATCCTCTTCCGATCACCTTTGCTGGCTCCCCACCTCCCTCTTCCATCAGGAGGGCCTCGTGGCTCCATATATAAAGGGAGAGGCTATTGGGGAGCAGCATGCATCCTGTTGGCCATGGTCTTAGTACAGTGTGCTCTGAGTGCAGGAGCAGCTGGGACTTGGGAGTCAGAACACTGGGTTCACATTTGACTCAGGCTGGTCATTTTTGGGGTGCTTGCTTAGTGCCAGGTGCTCTGCTGAGCGCCTCACAGAGATCTTTGGCACAATGCTGGGGGTGAGCGTTCCTAGCCTGGTGAGGTATCACTATGGTAGGGGTTGGAAAGGGCCCTGTGGGCAGTGCCCAGCACACAGCCTGATGTCCAGTCAATGGGGGCTTGTCATGGGCACCCCTGCCTGCCAGCAGACCACCTGGCCCACAGTATCCTACTGTCCAGCCTCTGCAGGCCTGCTCCTGAGGGAGGGTGCCTGGACCCTCAGGCTCATCTTGGCACAGGGAGCCTCACAATGCCTGAGCCCTCCAAGGGTGGCAGCTGTTGGCATGAACTCATCCTCAGGACTCCATAACTGACCATCTGGCCCAGGGGTCCGGGGGGACGGGGGTGCAGGTTGTAGACTGAGCTTGGCTTCAGTAGAGACAGTTTGGAATCATGGACCCCAGCACATCCTGCTTGACCTTTGGTCTCAACAAGAGTGTAAGCCTTTTGCATGAACAGGTATTTTAAAATTTTTGTTGCCCTGAAACCAGTCTGAATGAATGGGGCAGTCTGGTGTGGTTACCAGGCACCTGCTCCTCCCAGCAACTGCTTAATAATCACAAGATCCTGCCCAAGAAGAAGGCTCACTAGCCTTTCTTGCTGCCCCTACAGGAAGTTCCTCTTACAACCCCTGCCATGTGGCTGGATCAGGTTCACCTAGGATGCCAAGCTGTCCTTGACATAGTAACACAGAGCTGGGAGTGCATCATTGAGCCAGAGGGGCAAATGATGAGGGAGGGGCCCTTACCAGCCAGTGCAAGCAAGCATCAGATTACCAGGGCAAAGCCAAGGGACCCTCTCTGCATCCTCTGGGCTGCACCCTTCCCTCGGGGGCTTTTTGACCCCCATCCACCCTACATATGCACCCAGATTTGCCCTCTATAGCAGCAGGTAGGCACTGTCCTGCCCGCTCTGTAACACAGAAGTGGAAAGGACTTCCTCATGATGCCTGTACGGCTGGTCTACTCACCTACTGACACAGTAGAATGCGATCAGTTTGAAGATGTCCTCAAATACAAGAACTGAGCCTTCCAGGTACAGTACTGGGGAGAGACAGAGAGGCCCAGGGTGAGTATCCTCCAAAGACAGGGAGGGAGGGAGGAAGGGAGGCGTTTCTCCTTGAGGGCTGAAGGCAGGTGCGTGTCTACCATGTTCAGTGTGGGTCCTGGTTTTGCCAACAGTGTTCATCCACGTGACCCTGTATATGCCATCTGCCACCTGGACCTCGGGTAGTGAACAATGGACTTCGAGGGTGTTCAGGAGTCACCCGTTATAGCTGGTGCTAACTCATATACATTCATCACTTTGGGCAAAAAAGGCCGATTTTAGATCCTAAGAACAGAATTAATTACACGCTTGAGCAGCCGTGAGGGGCCAATGTGCTTTACTAATACATACTAAGCATTGGTCTCAACAGCTAACATGATGTTTAAAAAAACTCATATTCATCTACGTTTAACAAAGAGGTCATAGTTTCCCAATAGGTTAGACACAAAATTTTAAAACAGAATTTCAAGAAAAATATTACTAGAGTACAATGCAAGAAGTATTTGGAGAAATTGACCTAAGACAAATGGCCTAAATCTGAGAAACTCCACCCCGTGGTATGTGGTGGGGACAGGGAGAGGAGGCCTAGGGTAGCCCAGCGCCACCTTGTGCCTGTCTTGGGTGCATCACCAGCCCCCTGCATGAGGGGCAGCATAGACAGTGGCTGAGGAAAGCTGGGACCCAAAGACTCCCATAGCAGTGAGAGGTAGAGAGGGCACTTATCTGAAATGGGACAAGGAAGACCTTCCTGGGGATCCCTCTAGTGGGATTAGCAGTAATGCACCGCTTACTTGGCCTATCCCACGATTTGCAGCTCTCCAAGCCATCAAGATATGGGCCAAGCGTCCCAGAACACAGGCATTGCTTCCCCTCCCCTGTGCCTCCTGCAGTCCCTTTCTAAACCAGCAGTGTCACCTAGTTAGACTTATTTTCCCGGACCCTCTCGCTGCATCAGATCCCACGTGAACAAACAAACATCCCCAGGTCTGAAAGCCCAGGGTCTAGCACAGTTCTACATAGAAAAGCCCAATCATCTTTATTTTTAAAAATGTTTTTATTTTTTATTTTACTGGTATCTGTTTGCAATTCATACAGTTTGCAGTCATCGTGGGGAGTGGTTACATGTACATATCACAGCTTTTTAAAAAATTCCTTTCCCTTCCTTTCTCCTCCCTCCTTCATCCTCCAATTCCTCTATTCCTTTTTTTTTCCTTCTTAGTACCAGGGATTGAACTCAGGACCTTGAACTTGAAAAGCAGGCAGCAAACCACTGAGCTAAATCCCCAGCCAGTCTCTACGTGTATCTTTATTCTACTCACTTCTCCTTTCCCTCCTCCTCACCCCTCATGCTTTTTCCCTATTGCAAGAGATCCATATCCTGGTCCCATCCATCCTTTATTAGTGTCTTTGCTTGTCCCTCCCTTCACTCAAATGAGAAATACCATATGGTATTTAAGTTGCATCTGGTTTATTTCACTCAACATTATATTTTCCAGGTGCATCCATTTTCCTGCAAATGTCTCGTCTATCATTCTTTATAGCAAGCAGCACAGTTTTCCATTTATATACAGATCCCACCTTTTCTTTACCCAGTCATCTGTTGATGAGTACACAGGCTGCTTTCAGGATTTAGTTATTATGAATTGTGCTGCTGTAAACTTTGGTATGTGCGTATTGCTGTAGTATGATGACTTAAGCCCTCTGGGGAAGATACCTAGAAGGGGGATTGCTGGGTCACGTGGAACTTTTAACTTCAGTTCTTTGAGAAATCTCCATACTGATTTCCATAATGGCTGTACTCTCTTGCATTCCCACTAACAATGAAGTCACCACAGCCTCACCAGCATTTTCTATTGTTTGATTTCCTGATGACTGCCATTCTTTCTGGAGTAAGATGGAATCTTAACATTGCTTTGATTTGCATTTCTCTATGGGCCAGAGATGTTGAGCATTTTTTCATATATTTTTTGTTCATTTCTATTTCTTCCTCTGTGAAGTGTCTGTTCATTTATCTTGCCTGTCTTTTGATTGGATCTTTCATTTTAGGTGGTTTAATTATTTTGAGTTCTTTGTATATTCTAGATATTAGTCCTCTGTCTGAGAAGTTGGCAAAAAAATTGTTCCATTCTTTGGGTTTTCTCTTCACTCTACTGATTGATTCTTTGGCTGTAGAAACTTTTTAGGCTGATATAATCCCATTTATTGATTTTTACTGTTATTTCTTGTGCCATTGAGGTTTAGTTCAAAAAATTCTTTTCTACACCTATGTCTTCAAGTGTTTTACTTATTTTATCTTCTAGTAGGTTTAATACTTCTGCTTTAATGTTTAGACCTTTGATCCATTTTTATTTTAATTTAGTTCATGGTGAGTGAAAAGGGTCTAGTTTCAATCTTCTGTACACAGATAACCAGTTTTCCCAACACTACTCATTGAATAGCCTGTCTTTCCTCCAGCATGTGTTTTTGGTTCCTCTGTTAAAAATCAAACAGCTGTATGTTGCTGAGGAAGTTTCTGTATCCTCAATTCTGTTCTCTTCTGGTACCAGGGATCGAACTCAGGTCCTTGCACTTGCAAGGCAGGCAGAATGCCACTGAGCTGCATTCCCAGCCCCTCAATTCTGTTCTTCCATGCACATATCTGTTTTTGTTCCAGCAGCATGCCTTTTTTTTTTTTTTTTTTAAATCA